ATGATATCTCATAGTTGTTTTAATTTGCATCTCTCTTAGGGCTAGGGATTTTGAGCATTTCTTCATGTGTTGGTTAGCCATCTGAATGTCGTCTTCGGTGAAGTGCCTGTTCATATCCTGTGCCCATTTTTCTATGATTTTCTGAGCATTATACTTTTAGTAAACCATATGATCTTAAGAGTTGAGGTCCCTGGCTGAATTCACAAAAGAAATGAAGTCGTAATAAGTAATGTTATCAGAAAAGCAAATATGCTGAGAAAATAGAAAAAGAAAACAATGTAACAGAATTTTTCATTTAATGGTAAAAATGAGAAAATTTTAGTTTCCATGTAAGTAAAAGCTTTTTATTGTAAGTAAACTGAGTTATTTTTATGGCTGTAAAAATCAATAACTTTCTTGTTAACAAAGGCCTTTTATCCTTTTCTTAGTGTCCATATTATAAGGATCTGGAACATTGGGATACATTTGTCTGCTTCTTTTCACAACTTTAAATGGACTCAACATATGTGAAGATGCGTCTATGTTTCAGTGTTAACATGCAACAGAAATTACCAAAAAGAACAATCAGCAAGGGGCTGAAAGAATTGCTTCTAAGTAAATATCCACTAACTTCCACTCCTTTACAAATAGACATTTGTTTCAAATAACCATTTACACTAAAGAAAACTCGAGCATAAAATGCATTTAGCTGGGAACAGGTATATTTTATGAAAGCCTTTATGTGGTATTAGATAACAAATACAGAGAAAACTCAAGGTGATTACTGGGATTTTAAAATTTATTGAAGACATAAATCTGTCTCCCAAGATATTATTGTTGTTGTTAAGTGTTGTTGAGTCGTAGATAACTCATAGCGACCCTATGAATGAAAAGACCGAAACATTTGTATCATTTACATCGTTTCTCCAAGTTTATAGAGTTTACGGAGGCAAGCTATTTTGGAAGTGGATCCCACTCCTGATTCCAAACTTGCTTCAATTGGGGAGCTCCACCAAACACTGTCCACCAAGGGACTTACTAGTAAGTAAGGTCTTACTAGTAATAATTTTATAGATACTTTAAAACAGACTGGGTAAGATTTTCTCTTATTTTCTATTAGCTTTTCTTGGACAAAAATGAAATTCATTAAAAAGAAAATGATTACCAAACACTGTCTCTAAGAAAAGGCCTAAGGCATGAAGACGTAAAGCAACTTCATTTAAAGGTGTATTTCCTACTAAAAGTTTTATTAAGGGGCAATGACATGGCAATGCTTTATTCTGAGTGGACTATGGAGTCCCAAAACACTTAATATATTTATAAATACTAGTACAGACCATTGTTGTTGTTATGTGCCGTCGAGTGGTTTGCGACTCATAGTGACCCTATGTACAACAGCCCTAAAACCCTGCTCTATCCTGTGCCAATCTCACTGCCTCTGACATACCCATCCCGATTACCCCAGTCACTGAATCAATCCACCTCATAGAGGGTCTTCCCCTCCTGCGCTGTCCCTCCACTCTGCCCAGCATGATGTCCCTCTCCAAAGACCTGTCTCTCCTTACAGCATGTCCAAAGTATGTCAGGCGAAGCCCCAGAATCCTCACCTCCAAGGGTAGTGCAGACTATATTTTATAAAAAATATAATTACTCATAACTATCATCTATTTCATTATAAATTTAAGGTATTACATTTAAAATATAGTTAAAAATAAAAGAGTACAGTAAAGCACAATATTTTCTATGTTCCAAATGAAGGAAAAGGGAATAGGAAAAATGACCAATACATTTAATGACTACCATTTTTGAAGACTTGCAGTCTTGAATTAATTCAAATAGGTACTAAATGTATAATTTACTCCTTACCATGGGACCTTGCTGTTGCGTTAATATCAATTTGTTCCATCAATTAGGAATAGTATTAAAAAAACAACAACAACTAGGCATACCCATCAACAAACGAATGGATAGAGAAGTGGTGGTATATTCCCACAACGGAATACTAGCTGCATTGAAAAACAAGGAACTCATGCAATATTATTCAAAATGGGTGACCCTGGAGAACATTATGTGGAGTGAAATATCTCAGTCACAAAAAGACAAATATTGAACAGGACCCCTGTTGTAAAACCGGGACTTACATCAGGGTTGAGGGAAGACTGAGAAAGAGGGGATAAAAAAAATGTATACTGCATTGAAACAGATGAAGGAAAGAACTGTTTAAAAGGGACATATTATTAGGTATTACTGTCAAGACAGGAGTCCAGAATGAAGGCTGCATAGTGGAGTGGACTTGGGGGGAGGGATTATATAATAATTTAAGAAATTTCTTTTACTTTTCAAGGAGAGAAGTGAATTGGGGGAGGGTGGGGGACAGGGAGAAAAGTGCAACAGTGAATGACTGGAAACCCTAAGCCTGTAAACTTTAATTAAAATTAATTTTTAAAAAATCTGAGGAAGATTCAGCAAGAACAAAAAAAAACCAAAAAAACAAAAACACCATGAAACTAGGTATAGTATGACAACTTTAGTTCTCTATTTATGTCTGAACAAGCTGTTACAGTTGTTGTTCATTGCCATCGAGCTGGAACAGGGTAATAGGTGAACCAGCCAGGGGGTTTTCAGAGGTAATAAACTGCACAAGAGATTGTTCAACTTTCTTTGTGGAGCAGCTGGTGGATTTAAACTGCCTGCTTTTGAAATTGGAAGTGTAATTCCCTATTTACTAGGCCATCAGAGGAGACTCATAATTCTTTCATATAAGAGTATATTAATAGATGAGAAACTATAAATTCATTTATAACATTTTTATATTGTTAGAAATTTTCTTTGAAATGTGAGATGGAAAATTATAAAAATGTACTTACTTTTTTCATCAGCTTTGTCTTTTATTGCTATGGTATCATTACTCAGAGACACTGTCTGTGCATTTAGAATATCTGTTCTCATTCCAGGAAATTTTGGAGAAGAAATAAAGCGCCCTTCATAAGAATATAAATAGACGCCAACACCATCTACAAGAAGAAAATGTCTAAAAAAAAATAGTCAAACAGGATTTGATTATATTTTTATGCTAGAGAACAATGTATTCTGTGGGGGAAAAAATCTGTCACACAATTAAGTCAGTAAGTAAATCAACCTCTATATCGTCTCTCTCTGTGTACGCTGGCTGTCACACTGCCCCTGAGCTAGACACATCCTCGCTACCCCTGCACTGGGAGTCTAAGGTTGTGAAGCTGGGGGAAGGGATGGCCTGTCTCTGTGTACCCTGTCACACTGTCCCTGAGCTGGATACACACTGCTGCCCCTGCACAGGGTGTCCAAGGTTTTGAAGCAATGTGAGAAGGGACGGCCCATCTCTCTATGTGTACACTATCATGCCACCACTGAACTGGACACAGCCTCGCTGCCCCTGCATGAGCTGTCCAAATTTGTGAAGCACAAGGGAAGGGATGGCCTATCTCTCTCTGTGTCTGCTGTCACTCTGTCCCTGAGCTGGACACAGCCTCACGCCCCCTGCACTGGATGCCCTAGGTTGTGAAGCATGTGGGATGAGACAACCTGTCTCTCTTCCTTAGAGCTGCTGGAAGATTTGAGTTGTCACATAGGCATTGCCTTTGTGTTAGCAACTTAACATCCTATAGTCTAGGCCACCAATGCTTCCTAAGTAGATATAGAAAGAATAAAAATACAAAAAACCTGAAAGTCAATATTGACTCTTAGATTGTCTTATAAGCTTCTGATTTTTGATGGAAGTAGGAGAAAATTTTACTTTCTTTACGCTTACCTACAATTTATTTCTCTTTCTAAAGAAGCACCTCTATACAAAGAGAATCTGAAAATTTTATGAATTATAATTCAGCTATTTTAATACCTGGTGATATTTATATCATGAAGTAGAAGTATATACCTCACAATTAAAGGTTAAATACTAGTTAAATACAGAACAATTAAAATTACTTAAAAATTAACACCAAAGGCAGTGTTTATTAAAATAAGATGCTTCTGACTTTAAAATCATATGATGATCATCAGTAATCAAATCAAAAGGACAAACTCGCTGTCAGTGAGCTGACTGTGGCAGACAGGAAGCCTGCCTTGTGACTTTGAGACTGTAAGTGCTGATGGGAGAAGACTGTCCATCTTTACACAGAGCTGCTGGTGGATTCAAACAGCAGAGATGTGTGGCCTTTGGATGGCAGCACTACAGACCATGCCACCAGAGTCCTTGATCATCCGGAAATGCATTTACATTTAAAAACACTTACTTTTTTTCTTTTTACAGCAGAGACTCTGGTTCATTTGCTGTGATGACCATTATAATGAAAGCATAGGGTTCTACATAGTATTTATTAAGTAAAAAATAGAAATATTTTATTGCTATCATTATTATTCTTTTCAAAATTTATGGACATTTAACAAAAGGATGTAAACAATATGGGAAATAACTCCTTCAATCCAACCTCCATAGAAGTAACTATGGAAAACAAAAAATATGGATATACTATATTAAGTCACTTTTGATGGATATATTAATTCCTGTTTTAGAGAATATTTATAATGTATATAAATATTTGTAATGTATATAAATTTACATCTACACATTTCTTTAGTAAAACGTCTAGATGTACAATACTGGATCAAAGAATACATATACTTACAAATTAATTTTTTTTTTAAGTTTTGTGTGTACCATCAAATCAGATCTGACAGGTACAGGAGGAGACTGCCTTCCTTCTCCAGCAGAGCATCTGGGGATTCAAACTGAGCACCTCTGGAATTGCAACGCAGCTTTTTGCCACTAGGCCACCAGAACCCCCATAAATTTTTATAACTATTACCAAACTACCACTTTAAAAGTTACTGATTTATAGACATGGTAATTCAATACTGATGAGTCTATTTCCCCAATGCTGAAGTCAGTATAGTTCTTAAAAATCTTATGTTAACGTCTTGGTGTCTACCACTGACTCTAAACACTTGTTTCAGCAATTGCTAGTTCTTATGGAAATGAATAGGTAATACATAAATAAATAGATGAAAAAATCAGTAAGTTATATTTAATGAATTAAAAATGTATACACTTCGATTTAAATACCTGTGATATTAACTGTGTCCTTGGAGTCCACAAATCATTAATGTAATCTGCTGCTAAAGATGAGTAATTTGAGTTTACCCAAAGATCCTATCTATACTACAGCATAAAGGACTAGAGAGCTACTTTTGAAAAATCTGTCATTAAAAATCCTACAGAATATTGTTTATCCAAAAGTTGATAAACAGTACTATAAGTACCAGGGGGACACTCATTCTTTGAAATAACCAACTATTTAAGATCAAAGGAAGCTCTGGCCCACAGCAAATTGGGCAGCTAACTGAAAGACACAGTCTCTTCCCTTTATAATTTCCTCCCTTTCCCATTGCCATCAAGTCAGAATCAACCCTCCAGAAGATTTTCAGGGGCTGTAAGCTGCAAAGGAGGAGACTGTACATCTTTCTATAATGGTTCAAACTTCCAGTCTTTGGGTTGGCAGAAGAAATCCTGAACCCCTAGAAAATGCAATGGAAGTTTGTTATGAGTCAGAACTGATTCCAGCGCAATGAGTTTGAATTTTTCCTATATGGTAAAAAAAAGCAGCAGTTGTCCAAGGAACAAGCCCTGATAGCAGGGTGTAGGGAAAGTGCAAATGTAGTGAAAATATTGTAATTACTGTTAAAAAACAAAATGTGTATGACTGGTTGAATGAAAAACCAATTTGCTTTGTAAACTGTCACTCAAATCACAATTAAAAGAAAAGGAAAAAGTCTCATGGAATACAGTTCTACTCTGACACACAGGGGACCAGCAGCTGGACTCCACCAGAAAACAACTGGTTACATAACTGAAGGACTTGGCCCTTGCGTGAATGTCCTGGTGTATGGAAACAATATCTGTTAATTGTAATAAAATGTTATCTCATATTTTCCCTTTGATTGTCAAAAATATTCTTCTTTCCAAAATGAGACACTGTTACTTTCAACCTCTGCTCTGTTTCAGGAAACAAACATTTATAAATATACATACAAGACCAATGATGCAAGCACTTGGGAAAATATTTTTATCTAATCATTTATGCCACTGATGTAAGCCTTTACTAAGAGCATATTCAATAAATATATTTCTAAATAATTTATAAATAAATTTGGAACATATCGGGCAAAAAGATTTCAGAAAATGTTTCAGATAGCTGACATCTTTTTTTTTTAAATTTAGTTTGTAGCTGACATCTTATAAATGGCAATAAAATGTCTTTTTGCTTTAAAAATTTATGTATAGTCATATATTTAAATTTCATTATAAGGATAGAAAATTTGATGTAACATTCTTGATCACTCAAGATTATCCATACGATGATCATAATCTTCAGCAGCTGTTTTAACTGACAGCTGTGGTACTCCTTAGAAGCTGCTACTTCATCAGAATAACCATCACACTCAGTTCCACAGTGGAAGCTTTTAGTTTTGTCTATACTTCTTTGCCAGGCAATCACTTTTCGTCCTGTCATTGTGCCAACCTCTAATAGTCCACTAGCACCATTCCGCTTCTGGCATGCTATTTATAAACCACTGTAGTCTAGAAAATCTGATAATAAACACTATTAAGAGCTGCTTCAGTGAAGAATAATATACATGGTTTTAGTGCAAGACTTTTATGGGTAGCTATTTTAGATAACTGTCGATTACATTTTCATACTTTATTTCAAATCTTCCTGGGTTATCGTTTTCTCAGTCTGCCCTCTGTGTAGTGGGGTATCACTGTTCTTGATGTGGAATTTTAATGGTGGTGGAAAATATACAATCCTGAGTTGTACTAGAACATGGAGAGGACAAAACAAAGGGAAGAGAAGCTAAAGTAAAAGAGATGAATAGAAGGTCTCAAAAGACAACTCAAGAAGACAAAACAAAGTATTAGAACAGAATGAGCAAGGAGCTGGGGTTAGAAAGTAAAAAAGGAAGAACATGCTTAAATTTCTCAAGTCTTTGGAAGAACTGAAAATGAAATTCAAGCCCTGAGTTGCAATATGGAAGGATTCTATGGGGGAAAGTTTGAATAATAATGAAGGATTCAAAGAAGATGGAAGGCACACACAGAGTTATTGTACCAGAAAGGGTGGGTTGACACTGAACCATTTCAGGAAGTAGCACATAATCAAGAGTCAGTGATCATGAAGGAAGAAGCTCAAGATGCACTGAGGGCATTGGTAAAACAATAAGGCCTTAGGAACAGACTGAACACATGTTTCAACAAACAGATGCAGCCCTATAGGTTCACTAGTCTATGCCAAGAAATTTGGAACCTGGTACCTGGTCAACTGAATGGAAGAGGTCCATATTTGTTCTCAATCCTCAAAAAAGGTGATCCAACATAATAAACAACATCATTAATATTATATGCTTAAGATTATTTTAAAACCTCTAGAACAGTGTATCTACAGGGAACTTCCGGAAACTCATGTTAGATTCAGAAGTCATGACATAGGGGATCTCACTGCTGAGGCCAGATGCATCTTGGCTGAAAGCAGAGAATACTAGAAGAATGTTTATTTGCATTTGGATTTTACTGTAAAAGCATATACTATACGAACAATAACAAATTATCGGTAACATTGAGTAGAAAAGACATCTCAGAAAATGTAATTGTGTTCATTCAAAACCTATACACAGACCAAGAACATACAAACAGAACAAGGGAACATTGCGTGGTTGAAAATCAGGAAACGTATGTGGTCAAGGTTGTATCCTTTCTTTACACCTATTTAGTCTGTATGCTGAGCAAATCTCAAGAAGCTGGACTTTATGAAGAGGAATGTGGCCTTGGGATTGGAAGAAGACTCATTAATAACTTGCGTTATACAGGTGACACAGCCTTGCTTGCCGAAGTTTGAAGACTTGAAGCACTTACTGCAGAAAATCAGAGACTAGAGCCTTCAGTAGGGAGTACATCTCAAAATCAAGAAAACAAAAAACCCCTTACTACTAAACCAAAAGGCAACATAATGATGGAAAAAAAGATTGAAGTTATCAATTATTTAATTTTACTGAGATTCACAATCAACACCCATGGCAACAGCAGTCAAAAAAATCAAAAGATGCGCTATCCTGGGGAAAATCTGCTGCTAAGGACTTCTCCAACATGCTAACGAGCAAGAAGGTCAGTTTAAAGTCTAAGGTGTGTCTACTCTAAGCCATGGCATTTTCCATTATTTCCCATGCATCTGAAAGTTGGACAATGAATAAGCAGGCCTGAAGCAGCAATGTTTGAGCTGCAGTGTTAAAGAGTACTGAATATTCCATGGAGTGCCAAAAGAATAAACAAGTCAAGTTGGTGGAAGTACAAACTGGGTGCTCCTTAGAGGCAAGGACGATGAAACTTAGTCCATAGACTTCGAGCATATTGTTGGAAGGGGTCAGTCCTTAGAAAATGACACCATGCTGGAAAGGGTGGAGGATCAGTGAAAGAAAGACCCTCAGCAAGATAGACTAACACAGTGACTTTAACAGTGACCCTCAGCAAGATAGACTAACACAGTGACTTTAACAGTGGGCTCCAGCATATCAGAGATTGTGAGGGTGGCACAGGATAGGGCAAGGTTCAGATCTGTTGTGCATAAGGTCACTATTATTCATAGTGGATCTGATGAAACCTAACACAATAGCAATTTTATTACAGCTAACTGATTTGAAGTCTTTTCGTTTTATGTTAAGAATAAACAGACTTGAATTTGTTGCCATCAAGTCACAACTGAGGCACAGCTGACCCCACAAGGCTGTACCACACAGGCAGGGATTGACCACCTTTCTCTGGTGGAGCCACAGGTGGATGAGAACCAGCAGAAGGATGCCACCTTTTGGTCAGCAGTACAAACCCCAATGGAGTATTACAACTATTACAATGGAGTAGGGCACCAGAGCTTACATTCTGAAGGGTTTTGTAGAGAATACCATTTTTCACACTTCTGATCACATCTTAATAGTGGATCATTAAATGAATGAGCTTAACAAGTATTTAAAAACAAAATCTAGAAAAAACGGGATAGAAAATAGTGAGATCTTGAGACTAGTTAAGGTTAATAAACCTGCTGCTTGCTATTGAACTGGCAGTAACTCCTGACAACTGTCTGAGAAGGAACCATGGCCTAGTCCCATGTCATCTTCACAACTGTTGGTACCCACGGTTGCAGCTATCACAGATTTCAAGTGGCTTCCAATCTAAGAGCGTCACCTTCTAGCATGGCACTAGACAGTATTCTGTCTAGGATTTTCATTGGATAATTTTCAAAAGTAGACTACCAGGCCTTTCACCCCATTCTGTCTTAGTTTGGAAGTTCCACTCTTCCGTGGAGGAGTCATTCCATGGGGAATGCTGCTGGGATTTACTGGAAATAACACCAAGTGGCATAGCCTTCAGCATTAATATCAACATGCAAGCTACCACTGAACAAAAAACTGGCATATTAGCAGTGAGAAAAAAATTCATAATTATTTGCCTGTTTTACACTTCATGCTCTCATATAATCACACTCTCTTTGTAATGAGTTCATTCTTATTTTAAAAGAAATACTTTTATTTCTATTTAAATTTATAATATAGTAGATGTATAGGGATGATAGAAAGAGAACTGATGCCTTTGAGCTGTGGTGCTGGAGAAGGGTATTGACTGCTAGGAGAACAAACAAGTTTGTCTTGGAGGGGGTGAAGCCAGAATACTCCTTGGAGTCAAGGTTTCTGAAGCTTCATCTGACATACTCTGGACATGTTATAAGGAGGGACTGGTCCTTGGAGAGGAACATCATGTTTGGGAGAGTGGAGGGACGGTGCAGGAGAGGAAGACCCTCAATGAAATGGATCGATTCTGTTACTGGAGTGGTAGGAATGGATAGAATGGCATTTAGGGCTCTTGTATACAGGGTTGCTATGAGTCGCAAGTGACTCGATGGCACATAACAAAAACAACAACATGGTAGATGTATATTCAGACACAGAGACAGAGCATATATATAATCCTCAAAAATATTTCAACAATATAAAGAAATTTTGAGATTAAAAAATTCAAAACTACAGATTTAAGAGGGTTTTATCATCCTTTGTTTTAAACAATATTATATTAAAACAAGATGATTTAAAATTACTAGTATACCATCTCATATAATACTGGTTTTGAAAAGATACTTAGTATGAGTAGAGATATTTTGCTTCAAATACAATAGCCAACCATAATAAACACACTACCTTTCTGCCTGGAGAATGAGACTAACAGTTCCTTCTTTGAGATCAAATACAAGTGGTGTGTTCCAATTCTTCGTCCTAAAAAGACAAAGAAAACCTTTTTTTAGCATTTTAAATACCAAACACCTTCTAGTAAGTAGAGAGGTATTCATTTTCAATAGTGATTTCAATTACACAGCAACTTTGTACATGTCTCTATTAAAGCTCTGCCTCATCACTCCATAATCATTCACTTTTAGATCTATACCAGCAATTATAAAGTTGAAGCTCTATCTTCCAGCACTTAGCACATAGTAAGTAATCAATAAATGTTCATGGTTGGTATCATAATATGTGAGTTGAGAAATCCCAAGAATAAGGCCCAATTATGTCATATATAAGCTATGTGAATTAGGACAAGCCATTTATGTGTCTCACATGAAAAAGGAGAAGTTTGACATAGTGAAAAAAGAATGGGCTTTTGACTAGACAGATCTGGATTAGAAAATTGGTCTCATCATCTGTTTACAGTATGATCATAGCAAGCTTAAGTTGTTAAGTGTGAAGCATCAATTTATTAGTAAAATGAGAATAATGATTATTTCTATTAAAGGTCTGACAAGCTGTTCCTTATATAGCAAGTACATGACAAACAGAACCTGTAACAACAGTAACATGAATGTGATTGTTTTTCTATAGACTTCCCAGTGTTATTGCTGGACTTAAATAATAAAACTTCTGAGAAGCATTTTGTAACTACCATATATACATATTTAAGTTGTGACCATGCTTTTTCTATAAAGGATTAATAAATGAACACAAAACACCTCCTTGTGATGATATAGCTGAGTCACTGCCCTTGAGTTGGGACTGACTCACAGCTGACCCTTCAAGAAGCTCAGGAGGAGCGTGTCCATTTTTCTTCTGAGAAGCCAAGTCTCTAGAGGAGCACTGATGTGTTCAAACAGCCCAAAAGGTAGTGTAACCTTAGGATTAATTACCATTGCATGTTCCTACAGACTGTTCCTTTTTTGTTGTTATAGGGTAAAATGATTCAAAGATTGCAATGGGTGGAGAGAACATTTACAAATTTAAAAATATTTTCCAAAATAATCACACTTTAAAACAATTTTTACAATACCTATATATTCTTAGGGCTCTCTGATGGCCTAGTAGTAAGGAGCTGCAGTGTCATCCCAAAGTCACACAGTGCGAATCTACCTGATGCTCTGTGGGAGAAAGATGGGCAATTTCCTCCTCTGTGATTTACTACCTCTGAAAAAACCACTCACTGGAGGGTCAGCTCTAAGATGGTTCCAACTTGACAGAACTCAACAACAATCTGTTCTGAGGGAGCTCTGGTTATGCACAGGGAACAGTGATGTTACCCAAGAGGTGGTATCTCCCTGCTCGTTCAAAGCTACCAGGAGCTTTGAGTTGGTTCTGACTCGGCAGCAATGAAGGAGAAAGACATTGGGAAGACAGAGCTGGTGGCCAAGTCCATACAGAATTACACTGTTAACCCAAAGGCTGCACCTGTCCAATGGTTCAAATCCATCAGCTCTAAGAGAAAGAGATGGATGATCTCCTCCCTTGTGATTCACAACCTCAGAAGCCCAACCAAGAGTCAGCTGTGGGTCTGTTCCCACTTGACGGGAATGAATGAGTGATATATTCTGAATTCTTCAATTAATATTTGCATAGAACAGACTCTTTAAATCAAACTAAATTTCATATTAAGATCAAGTAGACTGAGAGGGTAAGGAAAGAATAGGCAAACTGGTAGGAAATTCACTATGGATAATTTATCATTTGATACTCCTTTTAATAACAAAACACAGGCAAAGAACAACAATAGTAAATTAGTAATGATAATTAATATAAGATTCACATAGAAAAGAATATATTTTTGTACTTCAGGGAAACAATTCCATCATGCTTTATTAGAATTACACTTCACTCTTGGTCAAGAAAGCAATTATATGATAGTAACATATTATATTAAATATAAATA